AGAAAGAAAGAAAGAAAGAAAGAAAGAAGGAAGGAAGGAAGGAAGGAAGGAAGGAAGGAAGGAAGGAAGGAAGGAAGGAAGGAAGGAAGCTGTGCACTTGTTACCAGGAATGTCTGGAAAACTCCAATTAAAAAAAAACAAAACGAAAAAGGGAAAGGAAAATCTTCCTTCCTCCTTTATCTGTTCATCTTCATCCGTTCTTTTGTAGAAGAAAGAAAGAAAAAAAGAAAGAATGAAAGAATCTCAGGACTCCTAACAACTCTCCAGAGTGTTAGATCATTTCACCTCCTGACCCCTGCCAGCCCCCCACCCCTCTGACTTCAATTAGCCCCAGAAGTCAAGGCTCAGCGCTTCTATTTACAAGGCATTTCCCTCCCCTCCGGTGGCCTGGGCTTAAAAAAACAGCCCGGAGGTGCAGAGCTGGAAGGAATGGCGGGGAAATTTCACATCGTGAGCTAATCCCTTTATAAATAAAAAGCCAAGAAGAAGCAAAGTGGCCTGCTTTCTCCAGAGCCCCCCAGGAAGCCCCAGTCTTTGTCTGGTCAAAGCAGGACTTTTGTCTGGGGCACGTCGGTCCAACCCGTGGTCCCATTTATGTGGCGTTTTCCTTTTTCCTACGTAGCACCGGCAATCCCCTTGGAAAAAAACCAAGGATTAAAATGGCAGCACGCTGCCCTCCGTATCAAACCCCCCGCCCAGCCCTTGACTCGCCCCCAACCCCCCCACCAAAAAAACAGAAGAAAAATTGACGCCCTGGAGGCTGCTTGTCCTTTCCAGCCAGAGAAGGGGAAGACCTATTGCATTCTGGGAAAGCTAGCGTGGTGCGCCCTTGCCCTTCCTCGCGCCTGGGCTCCCGCCACACTGAGCCGCTTCTTTTGCAAACCCGTGGCTGACGCGGGCGACCGAGGAATGGGTGACGTGCGGTGTCGACATCTGTACATCGGCGAGCAGGTGCATGCGCTTGGAGGAGACAGCCCTCCCCCACCTGTCCCCGGGGGGGGGGCACTTCCTCCCCGCTAAGAGATCTTGCAGTTGTTCCGCGAGCAGTTCTGCGGCGGGCTCTGTGGCGGGCGGATGGACTTGGAGCGCTTCAGGCTGTTGCCCTTGCTGCTGCTGCCCCCTCCGCTGCTCGCCAGGGAGTACGAGCGCCCGTGCATCATCACAGCGTTCATGCCGTTGGCCATGGAGAAGGATTTGAGGTGGCTCTTGATGGTGACGGGAAGCGGTAGCTTATCGATCAGGTGGACCGGCGTGCAGGAAACGATGGCCCGACAACAGAGGTCTTGGAGGCTGAAGACTGAAAGAGAGGGGGGGAAAAGGGAGAAAAGTTTAATTCTGGAAGGGTGGAGTCAAGGATATGAGCCTAGTGTAGTCTGGTGGATAAGACACCAGGAGACTGGGAATTCTAGTCCTGTCACAGCCATGAAATCCAGCTGGGTGACTTTGAGCCAATCACCAGGAGACTGGGAGTTGTAGTCCCACCTTAGGCATGAAAGCCAACTGGATGAATTTGGGCCCATCACCGGGAGATTGAGAGTTCTAATCCCACTTTAGGCACGAAAGCCAACTGGATGAATTTGGGCCAATCACCAGGCGATGGTGAGTTCTAGACCCATGAAAGCTAACTGGGTGACTTTGGGCCAGTCATTGGGAGATGGTGAGTTCTAGACCCCCTTAGGCATGAAAGCCAACTGGGTGACTTTGGGCCCATCACCGGGAGATTGTGAGTTTTAATCCCACTTTAGGCAGAAAAGCCAGCTGGGTGACTTTAGGCCAATCACCAGGCGATGGTGAGTTCTAGACCCGCGAAAGCTAACTGGGTGACTTTGGGCCAATCACCGGGAGATGGTGAGTTCCAGTCCCCCTTAGGCATGAAAGCCAACTGGGTGACTTTGGGCCCATCACCGGGAGATTGTGAGTTTTAATCCCACTTTAGGCAGAAAAGCCAGCTGGGTGACTTTAGGCCAATCACCAGGCGATGGTGCGTTCTAGACCCGCGAAAGCTAACTGGGTGACTTTGGGCCAATCACCGGGAGATGGTGAGTTCTAG